ATATATATATATACGATGTAGCACTCGTGTATCATTGCAGGCGTGGGGGGAGGGGGAGGGTGAGTTGTTTATATATATACGCAATACGATGAATGTAGCGGTGCTTTGGTTTATCCCTTCATTTTATTAGTAGAGTGAAGCTGCGTTATATTAACTAAAGGTGTACCGAAGTAATAACGTATAATATTGATAAGTGCGGAATTGTGCGAGTATTTTTTTTCATATCTACCAGTTGCGTCTCTTTGTAAAGAACACATTCCAACGCTCTATCAGTTCAATCTTGATTACTGCATTGCGTTAAATGAGTTATTTAAGAGCGCCGAAAATACGCAACATACACGAACACCCCAGAGCATGCGCTCTGGGTAACGTAGTCATCTGTCAATAATCTTGCTATTTTGAACAAACTGTAAAAGTGTTTTTTTAAACTAGGGCCGTTATTTAATCCAATATCGTGACCCTGAAGTAAAGTATGTTGCAACGTGTTAGCAACACAAACACGATTACAGCTTTTACAGTCCCTATCGGAATGTGCGGCTTCAAGGATTACACATAGTCCGTTTAGAGGATAGAAATTGGCATTTGACGGTAGAAGAAAGCATATAAGTGAGACCGTTTAGTCGAACCCTACAGGCGAGTATGAAGAACCTCCAACGCAACAGGCAAAACAAACACGTAACAAGGACGATATGTCGATGCATGAATACCTACGAGAATAACCAGTACGTTTACGTGTCGGTGTGGCAAATAGTTCTCCGTTCTCATTCGGAAACTCTGTTACCTTGTCTCCCTTAGTCTATAATATTATTATAATTATTATAATTATATAATTAGTCTATCTATTATGGCAAAGCAACGTCTGCCTACTCTACAAGAGTCTTACCGTAATGCACGTCAATTGATGCGCCACATGTTTGGACTGCTGTCCCCGCACATTCTAGTATTTAATCCTGGTTATTGGTACCAGCCATGCCAGTCCTGCGTCTGTACTGTACACTGAAGGCTCCACCGTCCATAATGATCTTGTCGATGTATTGATGGCTATTCGGGGCTATTTCCGATGTTAGGTTTACTTTATCTGTGTATGGTCTGGCGTTTCTGGCAAGAGCGGGGGCAGGGGAGTGCAATATATTCAGGTACGACAAGCTTCGCGTTTATGGCAAGCATTTTGTATCATAATTCGAGAAACCAGGTTTCGTGCTCACAAAACCTAATTTCTTGCTCAAGAAACCAGGTTTCTTGCCATGAAAACTAGGTTTCATGGCATGAAACCTGGTTTCTAGCCCTGAAACCTAGTTTCATGGCAAGAAACCTGGTTTTGTGAGCACGAAACCTGGTTTCGTGTATTATGATACAAATGGTGCGGTTGAAAGTGGGTTTCTTGCTGAAACCTAGGTTCTTGCTCCCAAAACCTAGTTTCTTGCTCAAGAAACCAAGATTCCAACTATAACTGCGGTTATAGGGCTAGGGTTTCATTCTTGAGCAAGAAACTAGGTTTTGTGAGCACGAAACCTGGTTTCGTGCGAGGAAATTTGGTTTCTCGAATTATGATACGAAATGCTTGCCATACGCGTTGGCTTTCGGCGGAATCTACCCACGCCTCCGGTTGTAACTCCGACGGGGACTTCACTCTTCCCCTTTCGTCATGGAACCTCATGAAAACCCTCATCATAACAACTGTATTGCTATATTATCCCAAGAGGTTCAATTACCGTATCTAACAACTTACATGCTGGAATCTTCTTCTAATCACCGATTTACCCCATTTGTGGGACGATAGCTGCACATTTCTACACGTATGTGAATGAATCCATGTTACATCAATTAGCTGCCCTATATTTCTGTGTATGTAATATGTGTTCTATACATATGTGTATGTAAAAATTGCTTTGCTTTGGCAGTCGCAACAGAACTGAAGCGAGTCTAAAAGAGAAAATTATAAAAGACTAAAAATCCAAAAAAACTCAAATATAAAAAAATCAATTCTAAAAGACGCTTCGTTGCGTGGGACCTTTGATAAAAAAAAACGGTTGACGGGAAAAAACGGTTCGGGATATACTTCCGCGTTTAATATATTTAGAATAGTCTTTCGCGTATGTAACCCACATATAGTTTGACTTATTACGAACATTTTGAACCATCGTAAATACTCAAAGCAGTAACGCTTTTCATTTCTGTAGGTCAGCGGGAAGGTTGGAGAGTGTAGTATCAAATGGCACCTTATATAAAATGTCGCCGATAACGATTAGTTCATCACGAATACAGCAGCTCCTCTCCTTACGGTAAGTAAGCATGACACTACGTTATAGCAAACTTACATCATCAAGTCAGTTATATTAATAACCTTATGTTAAGGAACCCGTTTAAACGTACTTGCCGTTTAAAATCAAATGTTAAAAATAATACGTCATGCTTCGGGCGGTAATAGACGGTTGTGTCGCTAATCACTATTATACGGCACTTTGTATACAATCGTCGGTCTATTTGCCCTGTTCTCGACAATGCACCGTCTATGATGAAGAAAATGAGATAAGAACGGATGCGGTGAATTAAATTCTCCGGCGCTTGTTATCGTCTTTCGACTGCAGCCTCCTTTCGTGTTTCGCATCGGTACTTGGCTAAAGTGTGCGGATTTATTTACAAGAACTCTTATCGTGCTGCGGGAAAATACAACGTATAGCGTGCGTTCGGCTGAAACGAGGGTTACTGGCGGAAAATCTATTCGAGAAATGTGAAATTCTTGTCCTGCAGCAATATTGCGTAAAATAAAAAAACTACTCTTTTTTACGTTTATGCAAAATCCGCAACTATTCACGCCCATGCATGTTTAAACAGACTGACAGCAGTATGTTTAAGCGCTACGCTATTTCACATCAATGTCCATATTTCAGCGATTTCAAGTGCAAAAGTGGCCGAGCAGTTTTCGTTCGATGCTATTCATATGGTAAGTTGAACCACGGAACTCTGTTACAAAGCCATGGCTATTCCCGCCGATCCCAAACGACAACCAACTGAAATGCAATATGGAAAGTACTAACACAAACATTATATACTAGTGCTACTATTAGTGGTCGTAGAAGTAGAAGCAGAAGTAGAAGTAGAAGTAGAAGTAGAAGTAGAAGTAGAAGTAGAAGTAGAAGTAGAAGTAGAAGTAGAAGCAGAAGTAGAAGTAGAAGTAGAAGTAGAAGTAGAAGTAGAAGTAGAAGTAGAAGTAGAAGTAGAAGTAGAAGTAGAAGTAGAAGTAGAAGTAGAAGTAAGTAGGAGTAGAAGTAGAAGTAGAAGTAGAAGTAGAAGTAGAAGTAGAAGTAAGTAGGAGTAGAAGTAGAAGTAGAAGTAGAAGTAGAAGTAGAAGTAGTAGTAGTAGTAGTAGTAGTAGTAGTAGTAGTAGTAGTAGTAGCAGCAGCAGCAGCAGCAACA